TGTGTGAGGCAGGGCAGGGCGCGGGGGGGGGGGGGGGGAAGAGGAGAGGAGAAGAGGAGAAACGATTGCTATGCAGTGATCAAAGGGGTGATTAGAAGGGCAACAAAAGCAATTATGGGTATGAAACAGCTTCCATATGAAGAGATTAAACACACTGGGACTCTTCAGTCTGGAAGAGACAACTAAGGGGAGAGATGATTGAGGGCTACAAAGTCGTGAACAGTGTGGAAAAAGTTAATAAGGAAGAGCTGTTTTATACTCATAACACAAGAACCAGGGTCATGCAATTAAATTAATAGGCAGCAGGTGTAAAAACCGTAACAACGTACTTCACGCAACATACATTCAAGCTATGGCACATGTTAGCACAGGATCAACAAAAACAATTAGGGGTTTGGAATGGCTGCCATATGAAGAGAGATTAAAAATACTGGGACTTTTCAGCTTAGAAAAGAGGAGACTAAGGGGGAATATGACAGAGGTCTATAAAGTCATGACTGGTGTGGAGAAAGTGAATAAGGAAAAGTTATTTACTTGTTCCCATAACATAACTAGGGGTCACCAGATGAAATTAATAGGTAGCAGGTTTAAAAAACAAACAAAAGAAAGTTCAACACAGTGCGCAGTCAACCTGTGGAACTCTTTGCCAGATGACGTGGTGAAGACCAGGACTTTCACAGGATTCAAGAAAGAACTAGGTAAATTCACAGAGGTTAAGTCCATCAATACTTATTAGCCAAAATGGGTAGGAATGATGTTCCTAGCCTCTGTTAGAGGCTGGAAATGGATGACAGGAGAGGGATCACTTGATTACCTCTTTCTGTTCACTCCCTCTGGGGCATCTGGCATTGGCCACTGTCAGAAAACAGGATACTGGGCTAGATGGTCCTTTGGTCTGACCCAATGTGGCCGTTCTTATGTTAGGATATTGTGAAGGTCAGGACTATAACTGGGTTAAAAAATACTTGGCCAAATTCATGGAGGCTAGGTCCATCAATGGCTATTAGCCAAGATTGTCAGGGATGCAACCCTATGTTCAGTGTTCCTAGCCTCAGACTGCCAGGGCTGGAATGGGCAACAGGGGATGTTTAATTCTATGATTTCCTGTCCTGGTCATTCCCCGAGGCACCTGGCATTGGCCTGGGTTGGAAGACCGAATACGGGGCTAGATGGACCTCTGGTCTGATTCAGTTCGGCCATTCTTATGCAGAGGGTCAAGGAGCTGTTCAAATTGGCATTTCTACAAAGATCTAAGTGCTTCACAGATTGCAGACCCAGGGAAGTGCCCTGCAAGACAGCAGCAGAATAAGCCAGTAAAGCCATACACCTTGTGTATGTGCAACTTACTGTCCCATACGGAGTGTACTTCAGTTTCCCTGAAGGCTGCACCAAGGCCTGATGGGAACTGGGTATGGGACTTCTGCTGACACCTGGGGGCAGGCAAGACTGCCCAGCTGCCTGTACGCAAGCCATGGCTGATGCCCTTCCTAGCCTGAGCCCCAGGAGGGGGATGCATCCAGGTAACACCTCTTGCCCAGGAAGCAAGACAGACCAGAAAAGGAGCAATGGGCGTGGCTGGGGCCATACAGCTGGAAGTGAGTCCATCTCAGCTGGCTTGTGGAGCAAGTCAGAGCCCCAGATCTGGCAGAATGGGAGGGCAGATCTGAGTGTTAAGGAGTCATGGGGGTGGGGGCGGTAATGCTCCAGGAGTCCTGTCCAGGGAAACTCATTGCGCAGAGCATGCCGTGTGGATGGGGATGTTGACTGCTCCGAGGTCACAGCCAGGAAGGTTGAAGTTGTGTGAACTTCTTGCCCTGGCAACAGCGTGCTCCAACAGGAGGCGCTGTTCCAGACTCCGGACTGGCCTCTCGGAGCATTACCGCCCCCACCCCCACGACTCCTTGACACCCAGATCTCCCAATTCCCATTCTGCCCTCACTGTTTGGATCAGAATCCATGTGCCACAGCTCCAAAGCCGCTGTCTATCGCAGAGGGAGCCCAAAGCAGTTCCGACAAGAGGGGGCTTTGCAAAAGGTCTGGGGCATCTGGCACACACACAACAGATGAGAGCACTCACCACTCCTCCTTTATCGCCCTCCATGAACTGCACAATCTGGCAGGATGACTTCTCCCATAGGAAGATGTGTCCACAGTCACTGCCACTCACCACAAACTCGCTCTTCGGGCCATAGAAATTCACACCCTTCACTGAAAGGAGAGAGATTTTAAGCAGAGAGCTCAAGGACAGCTCAAAAGTCCATGGAGCTTTCCTGGTGAGATCTGTTTACCTTATGCCTGGCAAACGACAAGTTTCCAAGGTTACCAGCATGGATCTGTCCACCCTCCCACCTCACTCTCGTGCTTGTACAGAGTTGATTTGAGCATGTGAATTTGGTACTTGTGAAATAAGGGACAAAGGAAGAGGCAGTAACAGGCATTGATCTTTTTTTCCACATAGTTCTACAGAAGCCTCTCAGCCCAAGCCCGCAATATCCACAAAGCCTCTTCAGAGCTGAGATTGCAGATGTAGCAAACCTGAAAGAGCTCAGTTGAAAAGCCTTAGCAGTTTGTAATGGCATAAGCATCCCTGCCACTTTAGAGGCCAAGGGACTTGAGCATGCTTGTTAGTGAACAATTCTGGGGATGCAGGAGACAGAGATGCCCATTAATGGCCTGTCCTTACCTGTGGCGTTATTGCGATGACCCTTGTATCTCTTGACGTACTCTGCTCCATCGCTGTGAGACGAGTTGAAGAGATAGATGTCTTCATCATTATAGCTGGCCAAGAGGTCTGCCACAGAACAAGAGATGTGCACACAGGATCGTAAGCATCAGCCCGTCAATTTTAACATGCTAGACGGTCACTGCCCTGAAACAAAGGGTAGGATGGACAAGCTATGCAGCAGCTTGTGCCAGCACACCACCCATGAGTAGGGATGTAAGCGATTAATCGACTGATAACCGCCGTGCAGAACTTCCGCCTTTGATATGTACAGCCGGCTCAAAGCGGAAGCACCCTTATCGACTAATCAAACAGTAGATGGAAACTCCATCGACTACTCGATTCGTTTATTAAACTAATTTTAACATCCCTACCCAGGAGCCGCCCGAAACAGGCTCTATCTAAGCCCAAGTGTTAGGGCTAAACTGAACTGCCCACGTGGTGCCGATGTAAGGCCTTGCTCTTACGCTGGGTCTCCGAGCCTTGTAAAGAAGGTAGTTTGGAGTCCTTCCCATTTGACGCTCAGGGAATCAGAGGCAGAGCTGTCAGGGAATCAGAGGCAGAGCTGTGACTCATCCCAGAGCACAAGAATCTGACTCATCTGCACACAGCCTGGATCCCATAAATCCCAGGCCTTTACTCTAGTCAACATACACCCTCCCACCCCGGGTAGCGGATGTCTGTGGTGGTGAAGTCTTAGCTTTGGGGACATGGTTCTCCTGCTCCAAGATGTCCTTTAGGACAGCTCAAGATGCCACCCACTCACCCAGGGAGTCCCAATAGGAAGCCTTCAACTCATGGACATGATATTCTCAGAGGACCCCACACGAGCAGAGGGAGGTGGCTTCACGTACCTGATCCATCGTGGCTGTACACGAGACATGTGATGTTAGCTTTGGACTCGCTGTTTACCTAAAAGCAAAGGGGATGGACCAGATAGCTCCAGTCAGACTGCCTTTGCCAAATGCTAATGGTTATGCTGACCATACTGTATTATGGTGGTGCCTGACAGCAACCGGTTGTGTTCTACAACAGACTCCAAAATGGAGCCTGTTAGCCCATCTGTGCAAGGTTGTGCCCAGCATTCGAAGGGCGAGATGTGCCTCACAGTTTATTGCTTTGGCTCCATCATTTTTCAGATACAAAGTCTTTGAAATTAGGCTCTGGGTGTAATTTCCTTGGCAACCCTCCTTTTGCACACAAGACCCTACAGTACAGTAGATCTGGATCAACACTTCATAGTGTCAGATTTAGGGGCCCTTTTCAGTTATGTGAACAGCAGCAGAATCACTGTGCACTGGGCATACAAACGTTATGGGTTGGGGCTGGGAACATGCAACCTTGACTGACAAAAGTTGTGCACATAAGACCTACTTTTCTACCCACTACAACTGTGAGCGCCTCTTCAAAGCCCAGCCCCCAATCATTAAAATCTAGGAAACCAGGATGTACCAGCTGCTTTGCTGTGAGGCGATTCGAGTTGCTTCATACCCACCCACCCCAAACCTGACAAACCCACAAGAATAAGGAAATGAGTTAAGGCACCTAAGAGTACCTAACCTCTGACCCATCCATAAGCAGGGTTTGACAAGCAGCAGCGAGCCCTGCTTGCCAGCCGCGCGGCTTGGCATGCTGCACATGCGCAGATCGCGCTGTGTGGCCACACCAGACTAAAATCTACTCACCATGGGCAAGTAGATTGCCCTAATTGTCGAGCCCTGCCCATAAGCATGCACCTTCCCATGCCACACCTGCAGTGTAGATGGTGTATGGGATACTGCAAGCATTACTGGTTGAGGAGTAGCCCCCTCTGACCCTCATCCCCGTAGGCTAGGGGAAGCAATTCCAATACATCATGAAAGCAGCTTCCTACCAGGTGGTGAGGACAGAACTTCTTCAGCACGCCATTGTTTTCATTTTCATCTATTTTCCTCTGATCATAAATCCTAGATGAAGACAGAAAGCAGTAAGATTAATGCCAAATTCAAACACGAGTAAAGCTCTTACACGCATTAAGTGATTTTCTGCAAATGAGTTTTCAAGTGGCCTACATCTCCTAACGATGCAGATTAGATGTATCTAAGTCATTTCACATTCGATTACTTGCACCACCTCAGAGATGGAATGCGGTGACTGTTTAAGACTGCTATCAACGCAAACTCTAGAGGGAACGTAGATAAAATGCAAGTATCAGTATGGGGATTAGGCCACGACAGGCTGGCATCCGTCTTGCAAGTGGAATCAGGCAATCTTTAAGGACAGTGAGAGTTTGGGGCCTTAGTCTCATTTAAGAAAGCACCACCTGGAGCTAATGTCTCCTTATACCATGCTGGAACAGTTTTATTTGTACCTACTACACTCTAGATCATGGGTTCCCAAACTTGGGGGCATGAAGAAATTCCAGGGGGAGGGGTGAGAGACAACCCAGCCCTTCCCCCCCGAAGTTGTGCTGCTATTTTTGTTTTATTTTTGGTTTTTTTTTGGCCCTGGTTAGTTCCCCCCCCCCCCCCAACAAATTTTTTGCCGTGGGGGGGGGGGGGGGGTTTCTCAAAAAATAAAAAAGGGGGGTGTGATGCCAAAAAGCTTGGGAACCACTGCTCTAGATAGGAGTTTTAACTGAGCAGGATATAGGGGAGAGAACAACAGAAGAAAATAGGTTTTCAGCTGAGATTTGATACGACTCAGAGACACCATGTGGCAAGAGACAAGACTGTTTCAGCTGGCAGGAGCTACAAAGGGAAAAGGCTCTTACCCTGAAAAGGAGGACAGAGGTGGCTAGCAATGTACCCTCTAATTCTTTCCATGCATGTGCAGATTACATTATGATGTGCACCCAGGCATGTGCAGATGTGCACCACTGGTAGAGACAGCTGTTGCCAGCTGTGGGCACTCTGCCAATCAGCTGGGCAGCATTTGAATCTCTCCTGGGTGGCCACCCAAGGGCTCAGCTTACATGGAACACTGGTGATTACTGCTGAGTGGGTGAAGGGAATTCAACTGGAAAAACCCTTGGGTGGCTAAGTAGGTCTTGGGCAACAAGAGTGGGGAGCCTGTGGAGGACAGAAAGAAGCTTTGCGTAATTGTGGAACACCACAACACACTATCAATAAATTAAACACCATAAAAATCACCAGGGTCAGTTGGTACCACATGAGTTCTGAAGGAACTCCTCTGAAAATGCAGAACTGGTAACTATGGGCATGTCTAATTACATCCCTCTGTCGAATGGGTTTCAAAAGCGAGACCCCAGTCTAGACGCAAGGAGTATGGGATCTTTCGAAAAAGGGGTTTGTTTTTTCAAAAGAACCAGGTCTAGACTATGGTTTCCCTTCCGAAATACCCTTTTTCGAAAGATCGCTGTGACGCGATTATGAAAATGAAGCACGGGATATTTAAATCCCCGCTTCATTTCTGCTTTCGATTTGCCTAACTTACATCCCTCTTTTGACAGAGGGATGTAGTTTAGACATACCACAGGGTATGTAACCTGTCACTTAAATCAGCCTTCGCACCAGATGACTGGAGGATAGCTAATGTGATTTTTTTTTTTTTTTTTTTTTAAAAGGCTCCAGAGCTGATCCTGCCCATCACAGGGTAGATAAGCCTAACTTGAGAGCCAGGCAAATTGATTACAATTATAGTAAAGAAAACAATGATCAGACACAGATGAACATGATTTCTTGTGGGGGGAGGGGAGGAGATCACAGCATTGGTCAAGGGAAATCAAGAATCCTGACAGATTGACCCCTCCATGCCTCAGCAATCTTGAAAGAGGGTAATCCCGTAGACACAGTGTACTTGAATATTCAGAAAGCCTTTGATAAGGTCCCTCACCAAATACTCTTAAACAAAGGAAGCAGCCACGAGATAAGAGTGAAGGTCCTCTCATGGATCAGTAACCAGTTAAAAGACAGGAAACAAAAGGGCTTTCATGATCAGTTTTCATAGTGGGGAAAGGTAAGGTACCCCAAGGATCTGCACCAGACCAGTGCACTTCAAGACAGTCTTAATCTGGAAAAAGAGGTAGACAGTGAGGTGGCAAAGTTTGCAGGTGACACAAAGTTACTGAAGATAATTAAGCCCAAAGAAGACTGAAGAGTGAAAAGGATCTAACGAAAGTGGGGGTCCGCACAACAAAATAGCATATTAAACTCAACTTCGTAATAGGGATGTTAGCGAGTAGTGCTTATTGGGTAGTTGAGTGGAGTATCAGCTAGCTCTGCCTCCTCCCTTTCCAACTCTATGAGAGGCAGCAAGGGAGGGGGAGAGAACAGGTACTGGGGGAGCTGGCTTAAAAGCCAGTTGCCCCCAGCACAGACTCTGCAGTGCCACCTGCCCTCCCTTCTGCCTCTATCAGAGGCTTGGCGGGGGGGGGGGGG